GAATTTTTTAATGATCGATCTATGGGGTGAAAAATGCGATTTTGGAGTTGAAAAATATAATTTCGAGAATAGATCGAGCATAACATTTGACCATGACCAACTCAGCAACAGTAAAGAGATGCACCATCTAGCTCAACTGATCGTATAATACAAGATTCTTTGCAATATGTTTTCCTTTTTGTATAAATCAAAGCTGGAATCCATCGACACGATCGCCCAGCACTCTCCCGGTGCGGATAAAGGTTGAATCGGTACATGGTATGACGTAATGGGCATATTAAAAGCCGATGAAAAAGTTTCTTAAGGAGTTTTGTGCTCGCAAACATCCGATGCTGTCTGTGCCAGTAAAGGTTGCGAATTATATTAGGTAGGCATTCTCACAGCCACGATGCCCACTAATTGGATGATCCAATATTGGTAAATGATGCACAAGCATACATCATTATACTCTGTAATGAGACAAAGATTTTTGTCGCCTAAAAATCTGTGTAATACAGCAGTGTATTGCGGGTTTTACATCGTTCAGATAGAGGGCGAAACGCCGCCGGCAAGCTATTGAAGGCTTGTCGAGACAGATAAGTTGTATAATTTCTAAAACGCACATGATTTTCATCGTGTGCTTACGCCCATCTCACATCGCGGACCATATTCACAAAGAGTACTGGTTATTATGTTTGTAATAGGGGAACCATCCCCACGGTTATACAAAACATCCGTCTCTAACTCAGACTGGAGTGATAAGGCATAAGCGACAACTTTCAACCGTCATGGCTTGTATTCCACGTCAACATATTATACTTTCGGAGAAGGAAAACCATATTTCTAATAGATTCGAGACATTTGGCGAACAACAGCCGTATGTATAGATGCATGGTCTAGTTTTCGATGACAAGTTTTACCTTCAGGAGATAGACGCGAATTTTGGCCAGTGTATATTTATGGCAACGAAGTTTTGTTATATGCTGGATTAGAAAGATGAACTTTCATTTCGGCTCAGTTGTGCTACAAAATTTTCAAGTGAGCTGATCTCCTAGCAACAAAATTAATTTTCTAGGTATTAAATAGAACTGGTCAATCTGTGATCACCTAGATCTTTCTAAAATATGGCGCACGCTGTTGTCACCGGCATTTTTTAAAATACGTTTAATTTTTTCCATCGCGGGTATGCACTTTCTCAGACTCGAGTATACCCAATTCTTAAACATAAGTGTAAGAACCCTACGGACAAAGAGTCAATAAGCTTTCTTTCTCGGCTTTCCATTTACAGCCCAGATAGTGATAGGTACAGCGTCCAAGTGGCTCGGTGCAACATCTTGCACCAATTGCGTCTGATCCTTGACGCATTGGATGAGCTAACAGGAGCATCACTCATCTCATGCGGCATATCGTTCCACTCGCACAGCATACCGCTGGGCGTGATGACTGCTGCTAACGGTATTTCTTGTGCAAGCGTATAGATTTAATAGATGCTATCCACCAGATATATAATACACTATCCTTTGTCATTTGATTTATAATCAATCCAATCCTCGATTTTAGTGTTTAATTCGCCTTATTGCAGCAAATGGTATGATTGATGCATGCACTATACGTGATTTTTGTGTGGTCTCTTGCCCACTAAATGTCGGAAACTATGTGAAGCAGTCGAAACCCTTGTATGGCTCACTGCTGAACGATCGTCATAGAAGTTCGCGATCGCAACTTTTATAAAAATGCAGTGGCCACTGATCAGTGATTGATCTTCTATTTTTTTAAGTTTATTTTGGTAAATACCGCTATAAATTGTGGGCGGCTCACACGGCAAAGTTCAGAAAACAAGTATTACATTTCACAAAATAACTTGATCAGATGATTTTCTCTGATTGACTCCTATAGTTTGAAGTGTATCGTTTGTAACGAATTTTCTCATCGAGGACACTATCGACCGCCAATTAGCCACTAATTACCGGTTTGTATATAGGTAAGATTCCCGCCAATATTATTAGTGTCAGACTCGTTTTTTGCGACGAGTACGAAAATTTGTTTGACCTTGACAGCATTAGGATATCGCAATATCCATTTATACATATGCTTCGGAAATGAAGAGTTTGCAGATTTATAATTTGGAGGCGCTATCAGACCGAGTGTATACGCTTTACACTCATTTCTTACTTTACCAGACAAGCAGAGTATCGAGTTAAAACTCATCTTTATTTAGGAGGTTCATGTCGACTTAAATCCTCAGGCTATTTAGGACTTGTTTTCATATCCATACGCCCTTAAATATATTTAGGCGACCTTGTTACACATAGTCGTTCCCTTTACAATGGTGTCTTTTTACTTAATAACGCCATTTAGGCGTGCATCAGCTTCTTCTTTCAATCGGCATATTAAATTGGTGAACCTTCGGCACTGCACTTTTTCCTTACAAAGTTACCGGCAGCCGGTTATATGGTGTAGTGGCCAACATCCCCGAGGTCTTGTATAGGCTTACTTACGCTCGAACTTAGAATAAGTCCATTGGGCTCCCTTTCAAAACATAATAGATCTTGTGAACATTAACACGTTCTATTGCTGACCATTTGATAAAGAAGTGGCAGGAATCCACACATATCGGTACTACCAGCTACTTCATGGCTCTCACCTTCGGATTCATAGTGAAACTAGAATGATAGTAAATTCGTCTATCAATCCAGTACGACGAATTCGTCTCCTTACTCTTAAAGCTCTAATGTTTAGTGGATTTCCACTACACGTCCTACACTGTCACTGATGCCCTGTTGCAAGGTGCTTTGGAATCTTTGTAACATTGAAGGTCGAGATTTAGTAATTGAGACTACAATCCTACAGCAACTGGAGACGAACATAATTGTTCGACTCCACACAGTTAATTTTGGGTCTCAAAGTTGTAATAATAAGCCACATTCAACTTCAAGGTAATATGCGAAACTTAACTGTCAGGGAAAGTAACGCACAACGAATGTAAAATAGGGACAACTTCAGTCAAGGTTTCAGCAAAACCTTTTGAGGTTGCTTAAATGTTAGGGAGATTCGCCTTCACTGACCCCGACATTTGTTCGGCGAACAGTTCCGTCGTTTCGATTAAGCTACAACGTGGGACCCGCGTCTCGAATTATTTTTGAACGACGGGTGGTCATTACGAATTGGCGCGGGTGAAACTGGGCATAAAGCAGTTTACTCGTAGGTGTAGTGCTCTCTTTATACAGTTTTGCTTTTTGCAATCGTTCGTATCCTGAAGAGCGGACACGCATGCTGTTCCCAAAACAGAAGTCCATTGGTTATAAATCCCTTCTTTCCGTCGTCTCGTAGGATGATAGGTAGAAGTTTTAGTTTGAGCTTTTTTAGCTTGAAATCTTTCCATATCACTCGTGTTGTTGATTGAAGGCATGACTTCGATACCAAATAGCCTAATTGAGTCCTCCAGGATGATCTGTTAAATACTGGATCAACAGGACGATTTGTTTCGTTTCTTTATCAATTATGTTGGTGGTAACATTTAATTTCTCGCAACTCACAAACTTTACCAACGTACACATAGTACCCGAATGCACCCGAAAGACCAACTTTTACCATTAGTTATCGAGAATTATCCGACTCCAATCACGGTGACACCTAACCCAAACACATATTAGTCTTTAGAACGTTCCATGTATGACTTTGCGTAGGTTGAATATCTGGAGTACATACAAGTACAACTTGCACTTCCAACAATTTCGGGGTGTCAGTGAGTTGACAATTCATTTCGACGATCAATCTAGACAGTTATAAATACATACAGATTCTACCGTACTGTCTTTCGGGACGTTGAACTGCTCAACTGTATATCATTTGTCATCAAAAGCACCAGCGAGGCACTTCTCTGATTGGTCGGGATGTTCGTGAGCTGGCCATCTGCCGCTTCCTGATCACTTTTCGATATCTCGCTAAACTTGGCGTGTCCCTGTACTTGTTTACGAATTCCATTTAGGGGAAGAAGTATTGTAACGGGGCACACCCTTGCGTGAACTTAACGCAAGGGTATTGTGCACCGACAGACGTACACAAGGCAAGCGAGGAAGCGTAGATAAGACAGAGGCAACACTGTAATAGCAGAACTGTTATATTTGTATAATTAAGTCTTTAATCCACTGTCTCTCTGTTTGGCTTAACTAAATTATGTTAATATAACTGAGTGTATGGTGACGTCTACTCACCACTCATTGCGCGCGTCTTGCGGCGATTGGTGGGTTGACATCGTCAAGATATCAACCAATGAGCAGACTCTTTGGTCGACCCATCAATATCACCACCATTGGTTATATTGTTAAAAGAATATTCAACTTCATATTCTTTATTGTCATTATATCTCAAATGACAATTTCCATGTAACGGGCTGCCCCGTTACAAGTATCAACCCCCGCTGCATCGGTGCTTTGTACCAAAAGTCGGTATTCGGGCAGGTTGTAAACAGATACTATACAAGTCGGGGCCCAGCGAATGGTGTGACGCATGCTACCAAACTCGTTGGGATGTGAAGTTCATACGTGCATGAATTGTTCATTTCTATCAGGACGTTGTTTGAGCTCACCGTGTATGACTCAGCATCTGTAAAACAAAGGGGCGATATCATAGCATCAGCACGATCTACACCTGACGCGTGATCCGATCCCTCGTGTGTGAGCTTTGCTGTCGTATCAACAATCTGCACTAGTTTAATGTACTGCTTTGCTACCTGCCGCCTTAATTTACAGATAAACGGCTCAGCCAGTTGTTCATGATCGTCCAAAATCGTAATGTATTAAGAAGATCAACAATCAGTGCAAACTAGGTTACTAGGAGCCGCTCTACTTGACACAGGGGGCTCCTTTTACCGTGTAATGACAGCAAGAAAACGTACATGAATGCTCACAACACGAGCGCGCGTGGTACATGAACGGACATGCTCTTACGAAAGCCGCATTTACCAGATCAAATCATTATTTGAATGGCCACGCCTTTTCCAACTCTTTGCAAACTCACCATCACTCGTGGGATCCACATCTCATCGAGTAAAAACCGTTGACCGCATTGCGAGCCTCTGGCGTGAGCTGTTCCCACATGATCAAAAGCAGGGAATCACCATTCTTTGCAGTAAGTCTGAGCCCGTGAGTTCCGTTGCCCACCAACTTCTCATAGCTGAGTTTGACACTCGTCCCGTGCAGAAATTTCGAGTCTGGTAAAATCGTCTTTGAGAACTCATGACCTTCCGACAACGACACCGCCAGCACCACGTTTCTCGATGAAGGATTTTCAAGCCACACGATAGCCTGCTCGAAGCCGTGGCGACGGCCGACATAGGGACGCGGCGAGTCTTTCGGGAAGTAGTAGACGTACATGATAGCCCACTTGTTGTTGTACCAATCTGAATGATTTGGGCATTTCATCTGATACACTTGTGCACGTGAAGGGAAAATGAAGACTCAATACTTATGAGGTGTTAGCGACCAGAAATCCTTTCTATCCTGATGGTGTTCTCCGTTCCAACATGACGGTATCTTAAGTGCTAACTTTAGCTCCATTCTGAAACCACACAGCGGCCTGATATGTCCGCGTCTCACTTCTTCATAGCACAACAGGTCTCTGACAAAATTCCAATTCCAACACGCCCTCCTCGAAGAGCAATTTTTGCTCACTCATGTTATTCACACCAGACAAGCGCATCAGTTTTCGAAGACGCTTCTTGTCAAAAGGATTTGCAAACAGGTCAGCTAGATTTTCTTCTCGTTTGAATCTGTCCGGATCAATTTTTACTTTTTGAACCTGTTACCTCACGAAGTGCCATCGTAGCTGACTATGACGTGTCCGACGACTGTATGTCGGATTTGTCGCCATATAAATGAGCCGCTTGGTTGTAAATACCTAAGCGTGATACGATACGGCACTTGGGTGGTAGTATGTCTTGTAGTATGTTGTAATGCGCCATCGGCCACATGCTTGAATCACAGGCAACGACATACTTAGCTTCTGCTGTTACTAGTGCGACAACAGGTTGATGTCGTGACATACATACAACTGCAACTTCAGCCAATTCGAATACGTAACATGTAGTTCTCTTGCGCTGCATAGGGTCATTAGATCAGTCATTTCGCAATTTTTTTAATAACAATGTCCACAATGCGATTTTGCATTATGTCGTAATTCGGTCGATCATATGTGATGCCATCGCGCAATTTACCTTCCAGATACCGAAAACCCGTTTCAATGTTCGAACAAGGTTAGTGTACGAATATGCGAAGAATCGACTTAGCTGTCCTACTACAAACGCTAAAACAGGCCTGGTACTAGTAGCCAGGTACATCAGCATCCCGACAGCTTCGCGATAAAGGAATTCAGTGTCCGCTGTTTGTTTGTTGTTCGTGTTGTCCCCCCACCAGTTTCATATTGACTTCCATGGGATTGCACATAGCATGTGCCTTATCCTATCTTAACTTGCGTATAATCTCCGTTGCATACTGTTCTTGACACATTGCGATCCTTTAATCTATCTGTTGCACTGAGATACCAAGATACTGGGTCAGCAATCCTTGATCTTTGATAACATCAGCGTCATTAAGGTCATTTGGCAGGTTCTTCGTCTAGTCTGCATTGTTTGTCGCGATCAATATGTTATTCAGGTAGTCCATGACATATACGATCATATCTACATGGAAACAAAAATAGAGACATGGCTCTTTTCGTGAGCGTTGATAGTCATGGTCTTGGACCCACTGAGCAAGCATGAACTCTACCAATGGTCGAAAGAACGAATCCCATGTAAGGTCTTTTATACGGTGTATACATTTTTGTTCACCTTGCACGGAAACAGGCTTATGATAGTAGGTACTGCTTAATTATGAGTGAGGCATTAAGGTAGGCTGTGTTGATATCCCCGCCAAAAATATCAAGTCCAAGCTTGGCTGCTAGATCAATTATCAATCGAAATGAAAAAATTCGTGCCACAGAAGCAAATGTATCGTGGAAATCGATTTCTGGTCGCTGATGGTTCCCTAGGGCCACGGTTCTTGCTTTAAACCTGGTCACATAGCTTTGCTGATCAGATTTCACAGCATGTACCCACATGGTATATATCAATAATGCATCCTTGGGAACCGCAGTACCCTCAATTCTGCAATCACACCTTTTGGTTTCAGTGCAGTCATTTTCTTCAACTCTGCAGCTGTAAATATTCTTTCCATTTTGATTGCAGCATCTCAAGGCAGCGTCTAGAATGCTTAATATTGCTCCCTGTAACAGATTTGGCGCTTCGATCCAATAATTGAGATGACGTCAAAGCCATATTTATTACGTACTCATTGAGATATTTTGGCTGTTTCGCTTACGCTCCGTGAAAGTCTAGTCCGTGTCCTCTTTGCATCTTTTTTGTGTGCGTCTTGCTCGACACGGTGTGCTTCCGATGGTATTAAAGAGATACAAAAACACTTTCCTGTGATCTACTGGTTTTACGCCACTTCATCGCAAAACGTCAATTCTTCTCCATCATCCGGCAGTAAATCAGGAACTAATACGCTTGGATGATTCGAGTCATTGCAATTTAGATATCCTTCGTCGTCTGTGCAGATAATGAAATATTTTTCGAAACTTTGTTTCAACTGTTGATCCAGTTCCGTCTCATCTGCGTCATACTCGACTTAGGTCGATCCTCATGTACCAACTGTGGACTTCACGTCATCCTCAAACTCATCGATCAATTTGGGTCGACTATTTTGACCAAGATGAAATTGCTCATCCTGCTCTAAACGGTTGGATTCATAGTCAAAGACAGTAGTAGACTGTCCGGTATCGTTCATGTCTTGAATCGCTTCAAAATTTCTTAGCGCGCTCACCAAATCATCTTTAATAACCACTAAGGGTTGTACATAGATCTTCATCGTCTTGATTTAGGTGAAACAAAGAACGATTATCTTCGTACACTTCTACATCATATCGATTGCGGAGGACGATATTCTCAGTAACACGTAGATCCAAGACGAATTTGGCGGTGTGGTCATCCGTAAATATACTTTGCACACAAACACATCTTCTGCGTAGCCGATTAAATACCCAATTTTTTCATTGCATCATTTTTCCTGCGTCCTGGTGATACTGGTATAAGCTTGTATGCAGTTCACCGAATATCCTGATATTGTGAATGTCAGGCTTAGATCCAAACATTACCTCCTTTGAGATTCCCTATTTGATTTTGTTGTAAAATCGATTGTTGATGTAAAGCGTATTACGCGTAGCATCAGGCTATAGAATTTAGCGATAACCTGCATGAGCCATGGTCTAGTTCGTCATACATACGATCGACTGATGTGTTCTCTCGCACAGCTTCGGCTGCAGGATATAAGGTGCAACTTTACGCGCTTCATATTTTTCGAGGAGTGCCAAGCCTCGATCGCATCATTGCAAAACTCTCTTCCTTCGTCGATGATTCCTTGCTTTACACTGTATGAACGATTTCTGATGTGTCGGTCGGCTGGCCGTTCTTTCCATAGAACGAGTTCTTACATATACCTATCTACAATCTTGCTGTCCGTACTTGTGTGAACCTTCATGGTCATGAATCTCGAGTAGCCATCCACGATCACCCGTACTGCCACATTTTAGGTCGCATTTGACTTTCCAGGTATCAGCAATTCCGCATACACCACTTGAAATGGCTCGTTTGTCGCGCGATGAAGCTTCTTCCCATGCATTTTTTTCTTTCGCCTACCGAAATGACACGCGTCGCATGTATATAATGTCTTTTTGTAAGAAACACGTCTCGTACCAGTTCTTTATCCACCATGGTTCTAAGATACTGTGGACAGGTATGGCAAAGTCTCTCATGCCAAAGTTGTAATGTTCGTACGCCTTCGTTCATTATGTAGTTGCACAGCGCTTTACCCTGCGAAAACTGACCATATCGCTGGGAAGAAAATGTCACTTCGATCCTCCATGTAGCGCCTTGTAGTATTGATACAGCCATCACCTGGTCTTTCAATAAGATTTAAAAATCTTGCGTAGTGGAATCAAATTTGAATGTTCAACCTTCGCGAAATAAGAGGGCTGGAGAGAATAGATCGTATTCTGGGCCCGAGATATAAAAGACATTATTTAAAACGTGCCTGCGTTTGCCCTTCCTCTTCGTTGGCAAGTCGAACGGTCCCCGTACTGCAATACGGGACCCAATATTCGGCAACACGCCACGTATGCTCTGCATTTTTGTATCCCCATTCAGGAAAGTAAAAATATTCGCTCTGTTCTCGGTTGGCCAAGGCTAGAGGCACACCCCATTTTTGCTACGGGCACACCCGCCCTCCCAAAATGATAAAATTGACTTCATATTTGATGCTGCAGAATAGTGTACATATACGGTACAGTACAGTTTTACGGTATGGATTGGTACGCACCTCGTCACAGACGTTAGCTGTAATTTCACAAATACTGAACGCGGTACGTGTTTGTCCGTGCCTCGAACAAGCTAGGAGAAGCTCACTCGAGCTGGAACTCACCGCCCAACGGATGTGAATATCCGTAAAGTCATGACGATGCTGAAGGAAAAAGTGGCAGAAGTAGAAAGAGGAGACAATACGCTGGGTGGCCGTCTGCTGGGTAAGACCGAGGCAGCCGAGAGCAAAGCTGTTTCCAAGCAGCGTCCGCTGCAGCTGAAAAAAACGTTCGAGTTCAGTCACGCGCTGTGGGTAGTCGCTGTTGTGCCCATCGGTATCGCATTGGCTCTCGGTCAACTTGGCTTTGTGGAGTAGCGGAGGTGCTAAAGATGCTGCAGCGGCGCAACGGTCATTTGACGTATTTTAAGAAGCCGACATTCCTGTCGAAAATAATGTATTGTTCGGCGTACCACAAGAAATTGATTCGGCGGACACATGCCAAGTCCATGCATGTTGGCATACGTCTTCAGGTACCTCTTCCTGCGTCACCTGAATCCGGCTGTTGCGTGCACAACGCCACCTCTTGTACCTCAATAATGTATTCTTGCAAGCGACAGCATTGCGTTGCGTGGTGCCCGTCGTCACAGGTCGCACATCATAGTGGTGCATCGCATGAGATTTCTCGCTTGCCTTGACTTACGGAGAGCTACAGACGAACACTGAAGCTTGGTGTGGCAAACGGAAAGAGACTCGAAAGCGTCTCAAAGTGTAGCAGCATAGTTTCGGGTCTTCTTGTCCCGCGGCCAACCGTCGAAGCGCTGTGTCTTCCTCTTTCGTCCACGCGCCAAGCCATAACGTCGACGACTCGTGCAAGTTATACCACAATTTGAACGCAATACCCGAACTTTTAATTGGCAACTTTTTCGACTTGCGTGCCTCCTGCCACGCGCAAAGTTGTTCCACGCCTGCAGAAGTATCTCCACGTTAGCAGCATGTGTCATGTAGAAATCTTCGGCAAAGTCCGCGACGAC